TATATTGGGTTTATATAGGGATTACGGGGTTTATATAGGGGTTATAGAGGGAATAATGGAAAAGAAAACGGAAACCACTATATTGGGTTTATATAGGGATTACAGGGTTTATGTAGCGGTTATATAGGGAATTATGGAAAAGAACATGGAAACTACTACATTATAACAAGGTATTCCCACGTGGACAGCTTCGCCATCTAAAGTCTGTGTATCGTTCTGCCCCAGCCTCGTTTCCCATCATGTCTAATTGCCCTTATCTCCTTGACTTGCCTATGCCAAGCTCTTGCGTGACCGTATGGCTATAGACACGTGGGGATACCTTGTTATAATGTAGTAGTTTCCATTTTCTTTTCCATAATTCCCTGTATAACCCCTATATAAACCCTGTAATCCCTATATAAACACAATATAGTGGTTTCCGTTTTCTTTTCCATGATTCCCTATAGAACCCCAATATACACCCTCTACTCCCTCTATGAACCCACTTTAGGCTTAACGCGCCAGGTCCAGGCTCTCCCTGACATGCTCCTTTCTGCACCCTGTTTTCAGTGTGATGGGCAAGGAAATACTTGCCGGAGCATGCTGCAGCACAGAACATGGCTGGCACCCGTGCAATCACCACGCTTGGCCCTAAGGGACCAAAGCGGGGGCATGGGTACACAGTAGCCAGTCAAGCTGCTAGTTCGCAGCTGCTTTGGCCCCCGAGAAAAGCGGAGCCAGAATCGCCATCCGCTATCTCGCTGGAAGCAGCTGCAACCATAGGTTGAGATGGTGCGACTCTTCGGAGATGCAGCAAATAAATGCTACAATGCTGTAATGCTTCCCCCTAATAATGACCCTCAAGTGTAATACGATTATGTATTCGGGACTATTCAGTATTGGGGTCTGGGGGGGCTTCATCATTGGAGGGAGGCGACGAGTGCTGACTCAAGTCTCTTTGAAGTCAGGGGGCACATGCCTTTCTATGGTTTAGGGTTGAGGGCTTAGGGATCAGAACTGCTCAAGGCCTCATCCTGTCCTGGTGGAGCAAGAGCGCACGGAAGATGCGCCTGGAGCTTTGCCCACTTCAACAGTAATCAAAGAAATAGTGGTAATCAGAGTAGTAGCAAGTAGTAGCAATGGTAACAATAGTAGTAATGTCCACCACAAGAGTAATAGTAATTGGAACAGAAATAGTAACAGTAAATCGCAACAGTACTGGTTATTGCTATAGGAATAGTAAAAAGTATTAGTAAAAGTAATTGTAAGAGTACTAGTTATAGCTATAGGAAGAGTAATAGTTCTAGTAATCGTGTTTAGTAATACGTCTCATTTTTCATGATCCATCCTTGACTCGGATTCTTCACCTTAACAGGCAGCGGGCTCTTGACAAATGCCTTCCCCTTGATAATGGACATACCCTACCCCCAGTGATGAAGCGTTTTAGGTTTAGGGTTTAGGGGTGGGTGCTGGGGGAACAAATCTTTCTCAGGTGCTCTGCATGGCTTGCGAGCTTTGCAGCTTGCGAGTTGTGGAGGCTGTAGGTCAGAGAGTCCTCCTTCAAAAAGGGTTTAGGGTTAGGGTTTAGGATTTAGGGTTTAGGGGTCCGCCTGCCGGCGCTGCAGACCGTGCTTTAGAGGATTCCAGTATAGTAGAAAATCTTTTGCATTGGGAATGTCTCATCATTAGGGGTGCCCATTACAGCATATTCCATTGTATTGAGAATATCTATCCTTGGCGGGTGGAGATTACAGGGGAATGTAGGTCTTGCCTTTGTGAAACTGAGATTGTTTTTGGGGGCTTGCAAGACGCCCGCAAATTTCAAGATATGCCAATCAGAAATTATGTGACTTTGTCGCATACATCTTAACCACAATGTGATGGCAACATAGAGACTACTATACTTGCATAGGAATAGTAGTCATTTCTAGCATTTGGCAAGGTTGAAGCAGATGGAGAGCAGTTGGTGGAGGCCCGCTTTTTTTTCAGGTCAAGGATGTCACAGGACCTCATCCCATAGCTCTGGGAGTTTTAGGAAATTAGTTAGGGCTCCCCTTTTGTGGGTCATGATTACAGTGTATTGGGCGCTATATTGGGACCACTTATTTATGTACACTACTAGCTGTAGCTGGAGAAGGCTGCCGCTCTCATCCGTCGCTCATTTTCTGTTCTGCATCTTGCTAAGATCCGCCCAATACGTGTGTCATTCCAAGCAAAGCAATTTTATACCGTGGATCACCCAGCCGCCTAGCCAGTGGTGCAACAGTTTCCCTCGCTCTGTCAACGCAACCCCCCCCGTCACAGCAGCCGCTGCCTCCATCTTCATGGTGTGTTCAATACTTGGAGCCCCAGGTACTCAGAACCTATCAAGTAGCAGCGCTTGGATACATGAGGACTCACACTTGTGCTGAAAGTATAGTTGCTGCTCCGCAACAAGCCCTGGACTTGTCTGAGCATCAGATCCCTGTTGCTGAGTAGGTTGCGCTACACATGGGGGTTTCCCAGAATAACGGGACCCCAATATAGACCCCAAAAGACTACAGTCCTTGTTGCGGGGACCCCCAAGCAGGTATAACTTTGGGAAAACCCCAGATGCACCTTCCTGCACGAAGGCTGCGGAAGCAGGCAGTTGAGCAGCTCACTTCAGCAGTCAGAAGCGGAAGTCCTGACCTTGGAGGGAAATGGGGCTTTCCCAAAATTAGGGGTACCTTAGCGCCCTATAAAATTAAGGATTACAGTATTTTGGGATTTGTTTGAAGATTCCCAGCTTTCTCCCCCAAGCCCTAGACCCCAAAAGGCTGGCCCAACGGGACTTTTGATTTTATTCCCCGATCCATGTTGAAAGTGTTCTTGAGCTCGCTGGTGGTCAGTAGAGAATAAGGGAATATAAGCCCTATATATAGTATATTTCCTTATTCTCTACTAACCAAAAAATGAGGGCCATCAAGGGTTTCATCAAGAGTGTTGGGGACCAGTTCTGTACAGGTGGACATTCTGATTTGCAGTAGGAAGAAAGATCTCTGCTGGGTATTAATCCCCACGAGTCAAAACGCCCTAAAGGGCGTTGTATGGGGGATACTCACGTATTATACGGTTATTAGGGGGGATACTAGGAGTTTAGTTTAGACTATGGCTCGCATGGATAAAGGAGTGATCTCCTTATGTTCAACCACCACTAAGCAACAGAGTCTTTTTTTGGACGGGGTCTCCGAAGTGTTCCTAGGATCCCGAGGCCGACTGCAACACAAGTTCTCAATTTCAATGGCTTTTGTCGCAGTTGGTAGCCTGAGGATGCTGTTTAGGGTTTAGAGTTTAGAGTTTAGGGTTTAATTTCCATTCCATAAGGCTTGTTTCAGGGTTCTGTAGGCTTACACTGGGTTTTTGTCGTGAGCTGAGCAATTCGGCTCCTCCTTTTGGGCGGATCCTAGTTTGCTTGTAAGACGCCGGTGCCTGTTCTGAGGCTAGCCATTTTCGCAAACAGTTTTGTTAGGGTGGGCTTCTCAGGAAAGCATGAGTGTGCAGCCAAGCATGTTGGGCCTTGACCCAATAGCAGATCTCCTCTCATCTTTGTGTCAGGGGTGTGATGCTCCTTAGGGTGAATTGGAGCGCCTTGACCAAGGTCATGATGCTGCGACTGGAGCTCTTTCCTTAGACGTGTTATTGTGCTGCATACTTTGTGCTGTGGCACTGTTTCGTGTAGCGTGTGATTTTGTTCGCTTTTTTAGGTTGTTGTGGCAAGATTGGTTGTCACCCTGCCTCCAGCAGAGATTACATGGAACATGCGGTGAAGCACTGAGAAAGAGCCATCATCGATAGCAACCCGTTCTTACCGCCTCGTAAGGGTCAGGCGGAGCCGAGACTTAAATGGCACGATCACAATACTGTGACATGTGCGGTATGAAGCCTCAGCATATGTCCTGAACCTCAAGCCCAACTAAACCTGCTAACGCATCACTGGCATAGATAACCATGGCGTCAGATGAGCGCCATGACTTGCCGCGAAAGCTGCTAGAGGCGACGCAGGAGGGCAATTTTGAGGACGGCAGCTCAAATGTAGTCACTATGGTTCCCTAATCGCAGTCTGAAGGAGTATTCATGGTTTTTCCCTCAACCCTGACACTCGCTGGAGGCTCAGGGATTGTCAGAATCCAATTTTAACTGCAATTAACTGTATTGATAATCCAGTTGTACCCTACTACTTAGTCCCTACAAATCCCCAGCTTCCGTTTCATCTTCCACATTATTTTCCAATTTGATTTTTGATTCTTGGGCCCTAGGCTTTCCTTGAGGCCTAAACCCCACCCTAACTAAACCTTAAACCCTACCCCCTAAACCCTCTTGCTTTGGCTATTGCAGCCGACAAAGGTCCGAGGGTTGAAATCAACCTTTCAACCTGAACCCCAGTGAAATCACTCTAAGCCCTACAGTAAACCCTCAAGACCAGATATCTTTACAATTACTTGGGTGCCGAATTTCCTGAAATTTGGGACTCTACAGCTTTAACTTCAAAAGCCCCACCCCAAACCCTAAGTAACTGTAGTAAACCTCTTCAGCCCTAAACCTTAAACACATCAGGGCGTATTCATCCTCAACCCCGACACAGGAGGTCTCTCGACTGCTTAACGCAAAGGCTGACCCCAACACGCAGGACGAGGTCGCTGGACTCTTTTTTTTCAAGTGTGTAGGGTTTAAGCATAAGGTTAAACACAGGGATTTAAGGCTTAGGATCTAAGATTAAGGTTTTAGGAGGTTAAACCTTACCTAAAGCAAAGCCCTCAAGCCCAAATCCAAAACCTCTCAACCATGAAGTTTCCAGTTTGTGGTGCCAAGGTAGGAGAGACACCGCTTTTCGAGGCTTGGGCATGGCAAGCCGGAATTGTTTTCGGGTTAAGGGTTTAGGGTTTAGGGCTTAGGGTTTACGGTTAAAGGTTTGGGGGTAGAAAGGTTTGAAGTCGTGATACAGGTAACGCATTCGCGTACACATCATCTGGGTGTTTGCTAGTGGTGAATAATCCCTACATAACCCCTATACGGCACACTCGCCTATTCCCTACTAGCAATCCATAAGTTAACTTCATGCGAGAAGCTACTCATACATATTTCCTAGCCTCAGAGGAGGCTCCTGCTTCCCATGCCTGCTCGGGAGGCTGCGGCTGTGGGAAACTCCGAGATTGTGTCTTTGCTGCTGCTAAGCTCAGCAAATCCAAACCACACCTCGCAGCATGACATGGTGGCAAGGCCTGACATGGGGCTTTCTCTGAACTGACCCCTAATAATCAGGCAAGTTCTCCAAGAGTTCAGAGAGGGCCTTGTTATTTCGTATTGGTTGATGAAGTCTTATGAGAGCAAGCCACGCGCTTGTGTTTCCAGCTTGGCAATGTGTTGGAGCATGCTGGCAGGGCCTCCTCGCACGTCGGAAACCTTCATTTGTATGTATCCGTGCATCTATGCGGGGCTACTTGTTAAATCTTCCCTGATTAGATGTTGCACATCTGAAATTATGCGTTCCAAATTGTGCGTTACATATTTTAGCATGGGCACATGGACATGACCCAGACCAGTGATTCGTTTGGACTTCTTACGGGGGCCATGTTGTATACCTTGGTCTTGTTCTTCTTGGGGTCTGCATAACGCATATAGCATGCTTATTCCTGGAATTTTTTTGTCCACCCCTAAACGAAACCCTAAGCCCGACGGAAAGTCTTCTAATTGGATCATGCTGGCGGAAGAGGGCATGCTAAACAAAATAAACCTCTAAACCCTAAAACCCTAAACCCCAAATCCCTAAACCCTAAAACCCTAAACCCTAAACCCCAAACCCTGTACCTCCCAAACCCCTAAGTGCCATGCCAACCTCTTCAAAGCTACGCTGCCCTCAGGCAGTTGGCCGCTGATCGCACGACCCAAGTCATCCTAGACCTGCCCTTGGGCAGAATATGGGAACATAGAAAGGTTTAGGGTTTAGGGTTATATAGGGCATCAGGGATATACAGGGCTATATAGGGTTAGCAAGTCTTATAGGGATATTTGGAGTTGCATAGGTTTCAGGGTTTGGGGTTCTCTGGATGAATATGCTGCGGACCTTCAACCTCTTGCTAAGGCTTGGAGGGCTTCTTCAGCTCACTTCTTAACTCGGAAGTTGAACTTACGTGAGTGCCAAGAACTGAGCGGCAAGAAAGGCAGTACCCCAAGTGAAGGATGTGAAGCCTGTTTCAAAGTGGTTTCGGGTTTAGACTTCGGGAAACATGCGCAAGTCTTGTGTAAAAAGGTACTTCTCGTAAAAAGCACTTCTCAAATGACAGGGTCTCCTTCATTCGAGAGCCCGAATGTCGACATTTGATTTTTGGAGGGCCTGAGGACAAGGTCCCTCCTGGGAACACCTAACATCGGGTGATGCTTCAGGCAAAACCATTCCATTCTGTGCTCATTGCTAGGTAGGGAAAACCCAAGGTAAAACCAGGTAATTCTGTAGTCCCCCATTGTCACCAGTATAGATGACACTTAGTTCGTGCCTCGTATTATACCTACCTAGGTTGGGGCTGGCATCTGTCAGGTTCTCGGGTGTGCGAGAGGTGGATCCGCAAGAGAAAGAGGCGGCGGTCTCCACGTTGTCAACACCCCTTCAGCTGAGGGTGCTGGAGCACACGTCTCAGGTGGTAGCTTCCAGCTCTGTGGTGGGCGAAGAACAACCTTCGAAACTGGAGGAACAGCCGGAACCACAATCAGTGCTGGAAACAGAGCAGTGTTCTGGCGAAGCTCACGTAGAAGGCCCGGAGCCAGCCGCAAGCGCGGACCCTTCACCCGTGGCAGCTGAAGTCCAGTTGGACGGCATGGCCGAAACAGCTGGGGAAGTGCCTGAGGCCAAGGAGCTGCAGGAAGAGCCTACGGTAGAGACCACCTCAGCTGCAGAACCTGAACCAGCCGCACCAGGAGTTGAAAAGGAAGAAGACAAACAGGTGCGGGCAACGCAACCTTTAGGCTGTAAGACTATAGGCTGACGGTTCTTCGTAATTTCAGGGTGCGTTCAAATCCAGACCCTGCCAGGAAAGCTCTACCATCCTAGCTGGCGCTGGCGATTCTTCTGATGGCGGACCTCTTGTGGCCGAGCCCTCCAAGCCTGATGAGGTGCTGAACGAAGCAGACCCCAAAGTTCCAGATGGAGAGACACCCTCAAAGCCTGCAGAGGGCCCAGAGGAAGATCTTTCCAAGGAGCCAGGCTCAGAAGAACCTGTGCAGCGATCCTCTCCACATGTTATTGAACATTCGCCTCTAGTGGCAGTTCGTAGCCAGCCATGGATGCAGAGTGCTGTGATTGGCCATCTGCGTCCTGGCCAGAAGGTAAATTTGGGGGAGTGGGATGCCACGCAGCAGTGGCGACGTATTGTCTCTATTGAGATGGAGCCTGGCTCCAACCAGGCCGCTCAGGAGGGCTGGTTGCCGGTCTGGCATCCAACCCTTGGATCCTTGGTGAGACTGACTGGTGCCGAGGCCTTCCCACCAAAGCGTGATTTCGATCGGCAGCTGCCAGGCCCCTCCGTTGCAGAAGTGTGGCAGGAGCTGTATAGCAATGGCTGTTTGGACATCCCTCCGCCAGAACGAACGGAGAGTGGAGGGACTTTGGCCGCCAAGGCTTTGATGGAAGTCATGACCTTGGGCAGAGCCCAGACGCCAGAAGGAGAGATGGCCTTGGCCTCCTTGGACCCTGCAACCGTAGAGCACGTCATGAAGGCCGCCATCCAGCATTTACGTGACATTGGCCGGCCGCTGGATTAGTCTTTTCCCAGGCTGGCAGTCTAAAGTGACTAGCCCCAGGTGCAGGCACTCGCAGGCTCGAAGATAACTGCGTCGTGCTGAAAAGAGACCAGAGTCCGGAGCTGGGGCACTCGTAGGGCTCGGCCAACGCCTAGGCTCAACCGATACATGACTGCCATTCATCAAAAAACAGGCCACCAGCATTTGGAAACGAGGGTCTTTGCTTAGCTCACGCCCGCTTAGGCAAGGATATGCCACATGGGCCTGTCGTGCTGAAAAGTGTGCATGTGTCGTTTCTGGCTGGGGAGTCAGCCCGCGCGACCGCACATAAGCTGGTCAAGCAGGCCATGTCTAAACAGGCATCCCCGGTTTACCCGCATGCACTTCATGCTCGCCGCTTTCAAGAGCACCAGCGCCTACCGCGTGATCTGCTCGCTGAGTTGAGGTCATCCGCAAGCTGACCCATGCTAGCTCCCGCATACGCAGGGCGCCTGGTTCAGCGCTTGCCACAGTTGTGTTCAGTCTTTTTGCATGCATCCTGGAAGTGCACCATGACTCTCAGCCCGCTGTGGTTGTTATTGTTTTTGCTGGCTGGAGTAATTGCCCTTGAGATAAAGCTACAATCTCTACCATGATGATGACAATTGCTATTATTTACTACTACTACTACTACTACTGCTGCTGCTGCTGCTGCTACTACTGCTGCTGCTGCTGCTACTACTACTACTACTAATAATAATAATGATATCTATTATTATCTGTATTTTCATTGCGGGTATTGTTATTTGAAATATGATTCTTCTTCTTCTTCTTATTATTATTGTTATTACAAGTACTACACTTATTCTTAGTACTACGATTATTACTTTCATTTTGCTATTACGAGATTGTGGCTCAGCGAAGATTTAGGCCTGGCGGCCATCGAGATCCTCTCCGGCATCCGATCGGACAAATTCCCCGAAGCTTGGCGGCAATCGATCCCTGGGGGTTTAGGTTTGAGGGTTTAGGGTTTAAGGTTTAGGGTTGAGGGTTTAGGTTTTGAGGTTTAGGGTTTGGGGTCGTTCTGTACATGGGACGTTCAAGATTGGGATGTATTGGAGGACCCCCCCACCCTGAAATAGTGGTATAATCGGAATATAACAGGACCACAATATAATCATTATTATCCTCAAAACCCTAAACCCTAAACCCCCAAACCCTGCCTGCAATGCTGTGCGATGCGCGTGCCTAAACCCCAAACCCTAACGTAAACCCTTTATAGTCACTATTACAGGGTGGGGGTTCACCTGAGGGATGAACTTTTTGTAGCCCTGTCTTTTGCAAAGCGTGATTGCAGGGTTGCTTACCTTCCCCCACCAGCTGGGCCCATGGAAATGGTGTCAGGAACTCTCTGTGAAAGCTGTGGAGAACTTGCTCGATCGTCTGGAGCTAAATGTTCCAGGAGAGCTGTCATTCAGGCAGGAGGTGGGGGAAAAACGCGGCTTTAGAGTTCTGTCAATCAATTTAAAGCAGCTAGAGCGATGAATTCGGTAGCAGGGCGGACAGTAGCTGTAGTAAGGTCAACATAGGGCGCAGGATCTTGAGTGACATGGATCCTCATATTATTATATTAGTCCTCATATAACCCATTATAGCAGTTTCCATTTTCCTTCATGCATCTGATAAGGCCTCCACGATCCGGTGGCTGAAGTACGAGCAGCAGTGTGGAGCTAAGATGTTTTCCGTGGCTGCGCAGCAGGACGACCGAGCAGCGGGGAAGTTGGTGACCATTTGAACTTCTGTCTAACCTCCTAGTATCCCTGTTAATAACCCTATATAGTCCCCTACATAACCCCCAATAAGGAGTTTAGACTATAGCTCATGTGCAGGATAACAAAGATGATCATCAGCAATGCCGATCAGCCATTGTGATGCATGATCATAACAATCAGTATCAGTCTTTCTGCTGCTGGCAATTTTCAACTGTGCTGGAAGCAGTGTCCATGGTAAAAACGCCGCCCAAATCTGGCTAGGTTTTGATAGTTGTGAAAGGCACCCCGCTTTGTGGCTAGGTTGGGCGAATCCCAAGTTAACATTAGTTAATATCTTCCAGTCTCAAATGCTTGCTCCTGTACATACGCCAGGATTTCGCAGTATGCTACCTAGCCCTAGCCTCCAAACCCAAAATCCTTCTTATCATCCCAATTTCCATTTGATTTTCCGTTTTCTTTGCTATCTAGCCCCTCATAGTCTCCACAGCACATGCATAACGCCACGTACCAGCATTGTCGTTGCAGCTTGGCGCTTGCGCGTGTGGAGTTTCGGTTCCAAGCAGTCACCAGTTTTGAGAAGGCCAGCGGCCAGTGAGGCCCTTCGGGGCTTTCCCAAAATTAGGGATGCCATTTTCAGCCCCCATCGAAAAAAAGATTTAAGTATTTCTGAGTCTACCTTGGGGTCACATTATTTTTGGGAAAATAACGTTCGCGGCTTGCTCGTAAGGAGCTCGAACTAAATTACCAGAAAGTGCGTTTCGGCCAAATAGTATGGCTTGCTTATCACGGTGGCTTCAGCAAGGCGGCTCCAACAATTTCGATTCCACAGATTCAGGGATTTCTTACGGCTCAAGAAGGAGCTCTGAGGAAGACTACATAAGGCATCATAAGGCTTTATGAGGGCTACTTCGCCAAATGGGGAGTGTCTCACAACGGGTACCCAAAGAATTTCGGGGGGCTATGACAGAAGGTTGACGCCCTAGACCCTGGTTATTAGAGTTTCGGGTCAGAGTTTTGGGTGCCTAAGCCAGGGTGGAGTCCTACGTTCCTGACTTGCCTCTGATGGGGACTGTCAGCAGCAATTCAGGCACAGGATTTGAGTTCAGGTAGCACATAGATTGTAAACCTCTAAAATCCTTCATCAACAGCATCAATGCTCGTGCGCTGCAGTAGATACTTCTTGAGCGCTACTTCTAATGTACGTCTCTCTTGCTTACTAGTCCGATGGCTTGTTACTAGCCCGGCCGCTCCGGGTAACCATTCGATGTGCTACTTCTTGCTGCTGCCATGATATTCCCAAAGTTTCGACTCCTTTAGTCAGTGTGGTAAAGAATCATTAATGTAGACTCCTGATCAATAAGCTCCATACCCTAAACCCTAAACCCTTAATAGGGTCTACATTAGCATTCCTCGGAGCCTTTCCTAGTGTCTCATCATCCTGAGCAGTACTTGAGGATTCGTTCTAGAATGTTCTAGATGTTCTTGCTACCAAAGCTGTTGATGACTAATCCTATCTCCCTAATGTTTACCTCCCCGGGAGGGGGGGTTCAATACTAGGGGTAGAGGCTTACTGTGCGGGGGCCGACTCAATCAAGCTTCTTGAGTTTTAGTGCTCCTCAAGTAGATAGAATATGGGTTTGACCATAGCCATAATAAGATCCCAATGTATCCTCTAAACCCTAAATTCTATCGACTTAAGGGGGGCTATATGTTGAGCCAAGCTTGCAGGCAGCATGGCCTCTGATGGCAAGCAGGCTGGAACTGCATGTCTGTTCTTACTTTCAAGAAGGTTATATGGGCGATTATATAGGGGACCATTAAAGGGCTTATTAAATGGGGGGATACTAGGAGTTTAGACTATAGCTCTGATTCATCGCTACATGAGCTGGCAGCTGAACGCTGCTAAAAGGCTCGGCCAGTGTTTCGTGAGTTCTGCTCATTATTGCTATCATTACGACTACGATCATCACTATGATCATTATGAGTACCATTGCTACGATTACTAGTTTTATTAGTTGTTACTATCATTATTTGGATTTACTTGAAATTTACTTGTACTACTAGTTCTACTAGTATTACTGATACTACTACTACTACTACTACTCCTACTACAACAACAACAACAACTACTACTACTACTACTACTAGTACACTACTGCTACTATTGTGATGACTATTCCTATTTTCTACTTCTCTTGCTCTTGTGCAGGAACAGCACATGGGGATGGAAGCTCGCCTGCCCCGGACACCTACGGGGCAAACCAAGTCCAAGAATGCTCAGATTTGGAAGGCCAACGGGTTTCAGGGGTTTAGGGTTTAGGATTATAGGGGCTTCGGCGGGTTAAGGATTTAGGGGTTTAGGGTTTAGGATGTAGGGGTTTAGGAATTAGGGGTTCAGGGTATAGGGTTTAGGATTTGGGGGTATAGGGTTTAGGGGTTTAGGGTTCAGCGGTGTCTGTCTGTGGGTGTGCCGTTGTGACCCATAGCATTTAAGGGCATAGGATGCGTTGTGCAGAGATGACTCTGACTTTGCATGTTTCAAGATCTACTGTGGTTCCTAAAATCCCACCACGCGTGCTTGGATGACGCCGATAAAGCCTTGAAAAGGACCCCTCAATTTTGGAGAGCCTTGCACCCTGAAACCTGAGAGGAGTCAGGGCTACCTCCTGGCAGATTCATGCGAGTTACTCCTTGTCAGTGGGATTCTAAACCTACATATACTCTCCCTAATTGGCCTTGTATAGGCTACTCTCCGGTTAGCAAGATCACACGCCGCGCCAGGGCTTCGTCCAGGGCTCCGTAGGAGCTGCCATCGGCGGGTCCTGCGCTCATCCGTTGGACTTGATCAAGGCGACGGGCGGGACTCGAAGGAATTGGTCTATGACCATGACTCTGAGTATTTCTAGCATTAGCACCATAAATAAATCTCACAGCTAACATAAGTACTCCTATGGTTACTACTGCTCCTATCATGTATTACCATAACTACATGTACCGTATCTCTTGCCATGACAATGCTTATCTGTACGTAGTTTCCGACTTTTGTTACTATTTGTTTTGGGTTTAGGTCGTACTAAGGGCGGGGCCTACAAAGGCCTGAGGATCCTTGGGTCTATGGATTGGGGAAGGTATTGGGCTCATTGGGACTACAGTCCCCCTTAAGTAGATAGAGTATGGCTTTGGGTAGATCATATATTAGCATCCCCAGATACCCCATATTCTATCTACTTGAGGGGGGCGGTAAGTTTTATGGGGGCCATGCGGAGGGCCAATAGATACGAAGACACCAGAGTTCTGCACAGTTTAGGCTCTAATATGGCCACTATTATTCCTTATTATAGTCACTATTACAGGGTGGGGGGTCCACCTAACCTATTGCCGGTTAATTTTTCACGATGCTTTTAACAGATGCCCAGCCCTGCAGAATCACCCGTGGACCAGTCTCTAAACACAGGTCTGCAAAAGGACGGCTCGTAAGAAAGAGCCTGAGCTCTCGCTTTGTAGTAGTAGTGGTGGTAGTAGTAGTAGTAGCAGCAGTAGCAGCAGTGGTAGTAGTAGTGGTGGTAGCGGCAGTAGGTGGAGGAGGGGAGGAAAACAATGGGAGCATTCACCATTAGCCGCGGTTGGGGGTGTTTAGCATTAGGGCATTAGGGGCAAGGTCTTATTTTCATATGAAGTCTTGATCAGACTATGGGCCACTAACGTGTTTCGGGGGACCTTGTATGCAAAGGGTTCATTGGCGGTTTGAAAGAATCAGGGGTACCTTTTTGGGGGGTCCTTACAACAGGAATTGTAATATTTGGGGTCCCCTATTTGTGGAAGCTGCCATAAGAAAGAGGCTGTCGCTAGCTATCCAGTGATGTACTCGACACGTCCAGGTTAGGATGCAGCTGCAGACAGAGGTCCCCAGGCTTACCATGCTGCAGCGACTTGCCTGGACTGGGAATGTTGTCTGTAGACACAACACTATTGATACAAAAGCCCAAGCGTGACCCATGCGCCCTAAAGCCTAAACCCTAAGGACAGTCTCGCCCGCAGTGTGGATGAAATAGTTCCTTCATCATCGAATCATTTTTCCCTTTGGGACACGGGAAATCTGGAGGTATGACAATGTGATTCGCATGCTGCATGTGGAGCATACCACGCTTGTTTGCGCGAGCATGCTTTGCCAGCAGGTTCTCCAGCATACTTCACCTTAGCTTCGCACGACTATTCTTCTTCTTATTATTTCCTATCACTACTTTTCTCATTTTTGTTATTCACTATTACTAGTACTAGAACTAGTACTATCGCTATTACTATTACATGTACCATTAATATTAGCATTGCTATTGCTATTACTATTATTACTTCTCTTTCTGTTACTGTGGGTTTCGCTTAGCTTTTGCCCGAGGATGGGCCCGCACATTGTGAAAAACGAGGGGGTCTTCGGCCTCTTCAAAGGCCTGCGCGTGCTTTATGTGGGCTTCGTAAATGTTCGGTATATAGGGGTATGAAGGGCATATATAGGGGTTGTATAGGGTTTGGGGTTTCCTAAATTTAGGAATACTCTTTCAAAGAGGTCCCCACAACAAGGATTATCGTATGTTTGGGTATATATTGGCATCCCCGTATTTGTGCAACTACGAAATAGGCCACCGTCAGGGAACCTAGGGGAGTTTGGGTACTATCAGGGGGATCATCGTGTCCTTCCAAGGCATTGTATATAAGAATTTTAGGAGAGGTAGACAGAAAACTTCTTCTGATAGTTGCCACGACTCCACAACTGTCCAACTCTCTTGGGCCCTCTGTTTGGCAGGGGATGGTGGTAGGATCCACAGTAACAGCTTCAACCCAATATAGTTGCACTGCTCGATGATAAGCATGTGCTGCAGCATGGGGTTAACTTTGGGGCCTCACTATTGCCCCCAACATGCTATTTTTCTTATTTTAGGGAATCCTAAAAAGGGGCCTGACCTTCGGAAACCCCAACCCCTATAGATCACTAGAAAATCTAGGTAATCTCTCATACCTATATAGCCCCCATTGACCCCCTTTGTATATCCCCCAAAGCCCATATCTAAAAGCACACCAAAACATTTGCAGGAAGGTGTTACCAGGATCCCAAACTGGAATTTGATTTTTTGATAAAACGCCTGCGATGCAGTGTCTTTACATTATGGTTTTCTTTCTCAATTGTTGGGCCCCTTGTTCTTGGGACCTACTGCAGATGCCATTCTTCATTGGGTATACAGGGATCCAAGGAAACGCTAATTTTGGAGGATGCTATAAAGATGATGGTTATTTTTACTATTCTTATACGATCATTTTAGCATTATTACTATTGTTAGTATTGCCATAAGTCTTGCTATATCAAACCTGCATCATCTTGAGACAGTTCAGTGTTGATATTGTAATTCTTTTTGCTGGTATTCTTACTAGTATTTTCAAAGCTACCATTCGCATTGCTATATCCAAAATTAACCCTGAACCATAAACCCTGAACCCTAGTTACCCTAAATCCTGAACCTTAAACCCATCATTTCGAGACAGCTGAAGCCGTGCTCTGCTAATCTCGTAGGCGTTGACGCTTCCGCAGCTCGACAGCTCGCCACCGGGCTGCACTGACTGGGTTGCTGCCAAGGAACTTAAATCAAGTTATGGGTCTATAGCGGCTTGATAGGGGTTATATAGATGTAGGGTTGAATTTTAGTAAAGCGTAATGTCTACTTTTTGTGTTATCTCGATGTTTCTTAACAGTATCTCACTATTACCATTATAGTTATCATCATTATTACGAGTATGACTAGTACTATTCCAATCTTTGACTGCCGCTGATAGATTCCTATATTACTGTTCCTGTCCATAGTATTGCGATTAATTTAATCATTTTGCTGTTGACCTTGATGCCATTCTTAGTAAGTATTGTCATCAGAATCGGTTATTTGCAGGGCCCCTACAATATGCCTCCCAGAACGTGAGGACCGCTACGGTTTTGAGAGATCCCTCCTAGGGATGGTCCTAAACCCCTAAACCCTGCACCCTAAACCCCTAAGCCGTAGCCATTTTGGCTCAAGGTTTTGGCCCGAGTGCGTCCCACAGTCTCGATAGCCCACTCTAACCTAGGCCTGTCAGGATGATGCCCGTCGATGAGGAGTTAATCCCAGCCCTCAATGAACAGGACATGGAGTGGATCCGGGAGAGAGATGGCAGGGTGCGAC